CCATTAGTACAGCTGATCACTCTCCACATACGTCAGAGTCCGTTTCCGACAATTTGTGGCACGACAAACGCGGACAAGCACGGGTTGCAAATTGTCGGAAACTGACGAAAATCAGGCAGATCTGCGGGAGTTTACGGGGGTTTACGGGGACGAAATTCTCACTTTTCATGCAGTGATTGTTTGGTCAGAGACATTCACACCAGTGGGCTGCTGGAGGTCATTTTGTAGGACTTTGGCAGTGATCCTCCTGCTCCTCCTGGCACAAAGGAGCAGATACCGGTCCTACTGGTGGGTTATAGACCTTGTACGGCCCTGTCCAGCTCTCCTGGAGTAACTGCTTGTCTCCTGGAATCTCCTCCATGCTCTTGAGATTGTGCTGGGAGACACAGCAAACCTTCTGGCAATGGCACGTATTGATGTGCCGTCCTGGAGGAGTTGGACTGCCTGTGCAATCTCTGTAAGGTCCAGGTAGCGCCTCATGCTAACAGTAGTGACAGTGACCCTGGCCAAATGCAAAACTGGTGAAAAAGAGTCAGAAAAGATGAGGAGGGGTAAAAATGTCAGTGGCACCGACCTGTAAAACCATTTCTGTTTTGATGGTCGTCTCATTGTTGCCCCTCTACTGCACATGGTGTTAATTTAATTAACACCAAATCAGCTGAAACTGATTAACAACCCCTTCTGCTACTTACCTGACCAAATCAATATCCCAGAAGTTTAATTAACTTGATGCTATACTCTGATTACAAAGTGTTCCTTTAATTTATTTGAGTAGTGTACTAAAGAGGGGAGCGGTGGGGGTTCTTTTTTTCTCTCTGTTAATTGTCAAAAAGTGATGTGCTAGTAGCTATATTTAGCTTTTTTTGACACGTCCTGTGTTAATGTGAAAAAAAACCTATATTTGCAGTCACTTGGTATTGCTATGTCAACCACAACAGCTTTCCTCTGCTTGTCCACCAGCACAATGTCCGATTGGTTTGCCATGACCATTCAGTTCGTCTGTATCTGGAAGTCTCACAGGATCTTGGCTCGGTCATTCTCTACCATATTTGGGGGTGTTTCCCACTTTGACCTTGGGGTTTCCAGCCCATACTCTGCACAGATCTTCCTCTACATTATTCCAGCCACTTGGCTATGGCGCTCCATGTAAACTTTCCCTGGCAGCATCTTACACCCTGCAGTTATGTGCTGGATTGTCTCAGGGGCCTCTTTTCACAGTCTGCACCTGGGGTCCTTGCACCTGGGGTCCTGTGCAGCCATGAAGACTTCCTCTTTGCTGTCCTTCAGTCCAGGTTTGTCTAGCCATTGGTAGGATTTCCTGATATCTCCCACTTTGGTTATGTTTCGGTGGTACATCCCTTGTAGGGGCTTATCCTCCTATTACAGAACCTCTAACACCTCTAGCACCTGTACTCCATTGTCTGAGACATTCAGTGAGCACGTCATCTGTTGGAGTCTAGTCCTTGATGTACTTATGGATCTTGAATGTTTCATCCTGGATAGTGGCTCTCACACTCATTAGTTTATTGTCCGAGATTTAATCTTGCCATTGAGCTGGCTTCTTAGGACCTGCCTTACTCCTTGGAGGTTTTTGGCCGTAGACGCTTTCCTTGTGTACCTCTTCGAGGTTGCCATTTTCTGGTGGGATTCCGAGGTACTTGTATCTGTTGTGCCAGCTTACCAGAAGATTGTGAATATATTAAATAACTAGAACTTGGAGTTATAGTTAATTAACAGGTAATTCAAATCTAAGGATGAAACTTGTTATTTTTTATCAGTTGAATTATTATAACTGTAATTTGCTTAGTGACCAGGGGATTTAGCCTCTTACCTAAAAAGTTGGACTCCGGAATCCAGCTGTTAAAAATCCAGTTGTCTTTCACCAATTTAGTAATTTAGACTATGGCTCTTAGCAACGTTATTAACCACCAACCACATAAATGTGTCTCTGTTCATTCGGATGCTACTGAAAGAGTGAATCCAGCCTGGGTGATAAATCGTTCACTGTGTAAAATAAACACAAAGGACAACGGGTTAAAAATACAACAGTACCTTTATCAGCTACAATCACATGGTATTTAACCTAATAACTAAGAAAAACTAAACACTACTGAAAATAAGCAAAATTAAAGAAATAAAAGGGGAAGTGGGGTTTAAGAGTCCGTTCAACGTCCGAGTGATGTTCGAAGTTTAAGGCTTAATGCATTTGAAATTGTCCTTTAAAAATAGCAGATAAGATGTGAATAAACCCTGACACACAAATGTTAACTGCAGTCAAAACAGTGAAGTTTCATTCAGTTTATGGTGAAAAATAAATAATGATTCAGGAATACATTAAACTATGATGAGGCTGAAAGACCCGTCAGCTTAGCTGGCCCCAGTGGTTCTGGTTCTGGTCGGGTCCAACTGAAACACAGAGAGGGTTAGCTCACGATGTAGCAGTTAGCTTAAACAAAACATGACTCGTTCGGCCTGTAGTGTGCATTAGCATTCAGTGAAAGTAAAACACCAACACGGCTATCTATTCTACCTATAGTTCACCCAAGCAGAGCACTTATTATGCATCAGATGGAAAGAAAGGGGAAGGTGGACGTTACTGTTTTTGGTCCAGTGGTCTGAAGGCCTTCGGCTCGGTTTCGGTGTTTTGCAGGCCTGTCTTCGGTTCAGTCCATTCGTCCAACAGCAGCTCAAAGAGATTTGAATGCAACAATTGGGGTGATTTGCAAGGGAGTTATTTTTATAACTCATAGTAGCAATGGAAGTCTCCCGTTTTAGCTATGGTGGTTAGCTCGTAGCCGCAACCTCTAGCAGCACTTCTTCGGTTCTGCTCCTTCCCTCCGTCTCAGGCGGCTTCTAACAGCTCCTTAGGCAAACAGCGATCGGGGCCTCCGTTGTTCAGCGGTTAGCAGAGCTGGATTAGCTCTCCTCTGTCTCTGCTGCAGCAAGATTCAGGATACACTGCATTCACTCGGTTTGAATTGCATGAAGAATAAAAGCACTGGGTTCAGCTCCTTCTGAATCCCAGGAAAAAGGCAGTCTGAATCGGTCCAGCAAGTGCAGAAATTTCAGGAGGACAGGTGGGACTTTGTTGCTATGTTGCGTAGCCTTCAGCTGGATGTGCTTGTCTAGACTTTAGCGGCACAGAGCCTCTGGCAAAATAGGATGCTAATATGGGAAGCTACACCGGAGGGATGTGTCTTCAGAGGGGCGTATTTCCGGTTAGATGAGCGACAATGGATCGGAACGTAACTGTCCTCAATATCTGCTGTTATTCCTTCTAGGAAAGGGACCCCCTCTGTGTAGACTACCTTCCCTCTCTTAGTCACCATCCGACCACACTTCTGTAGTCTGAATGACATCACAATGTGTGTGCTGTAGATCCAGGTGGTATGGATCAGTGAGTCAATGTCTGGCTAATCCATGTAGAGGAGGTTGTCATAATGCTAGCTTTTGGACTCTTTAGTAGGCACAAGCACAGAGAGAAGCAGATTTCAACAGTTTATTTTCAGGGGACATGCATAGGAGAGCAGAATATGGAGAGCTGTGGGAGCCATGACTGAGAGGGGGATTGAAAGGAAAAACAAATCGTTAAATGGGGAAGAATGGATTATAGAAAATTGCTTCAAGCAGTTTAAGTCAACTTACAGTTAGTAGGAGTCCTTGAATCCCAGTCTTAGCTGATTGCAAGCTGATGTTGGGGTTTGAGAGTGGAGACACTCGTCTTTCAGGGTGAGCCAGGGGTTCTGAAGGCCAAGGTGGAAGGAGCAGGACGGAAGCCTCAGGAGGGGGGTGGATGCAACAGAAGTCCTTGCCAGAGTGGATCCTGAAGAGAGGATCCTTGAGAGGTAAAAAAAAAAAAAAAAAAGGTTTAGATTAAGAAAAACCAACAGGAGGGAACAGACTCAGCACTAAATTTAACTAAGCTGGCTTGTTAGTGCTCTGGATCCAACATCCATCTACCGTCTGCTTGAGGGGGCCTGCTCGTTCTTAAAGGCCAACACTGATAGAGGTAATGGAACCCAGCTAGACTCAATAAGTCTGCCACCATGACCAGTGACTGATGTTGGCCCTGTTCCTGAGTCGGTATCCGTAACCAGTTTTGTTGGTTAGCCCCTCAGCGAAAGACAAGGCTGAACCCCCTAAAATATAAACTTTCAGTGATTTCATTTTAAAAAACCTGCATAAAAAATCTACCAGTTTATACAGCATTTCTGTGCACAAATCGTTTCCCTGTGGACTTATAAGGTAACCTGAAAAAGTTACATCACTCATCTGCATAAAAAGCATCCCACTGTTTATACTGTATGAACCAACCATTAAATTATCTTTAAAGAACTATAATCTCAATCCTTAGTTACATTACTGTATTTTACATATACCTATGGATTTATATATTATATATATTTATTTTATTTTGTAGCACAACTATCATGTAGTAAATGTTGTTTAAACACCTTTACAGAATATAATGCCCTGTGATCTGGATGGGAACATTTTGGCTCTTTACTATTCATATTGTTTGCAATAAGTAGAGACTTTAAAAAAAGGGAAAAATACACACAAAAATAATATCAGTAGAACGGTATTTGTTAAAGGAAATGTAAAGTAAGTTCAGATTTACTGAGTACAAGTTAAACCTTTCAATGATAATATGATAATTTCAATGAAATAAGAAAGTTTAATCATGGAAACAATGAATATGTATTTATGTTCTGTGGAATCACCACATTTATTTTAGCTTGTCTGAGATAAGGAATATCTCAGTCTTTAACTATTGGCATATAAGGCATTTTAGAAACAGTTTATATGGTATTTTCTCTTTTGAATATTTTCCAGGGATGATTTATGTTGTTAGCAATAAACCAAACCAGATAGAAATCAAAATGTTATACAAAAACGGTAATTAGAACAATGATAAAAGGATGTTCATTGCCCTCCCACTGCACTCACATGCACGGTTAAGGTCCATCCAATGGGTAAACATTAATAAGTAAACTTTACAATGACAGAGCCTTATGAGAAGTAGCTACAGCAGAAGCACAGCTTTTTTTCTTGGAAATAAGATGTGACACCACTTTGGATGTATCAGCAGAGCTCAGCATCAAACTAATCACCTTTGGGAAACTTTTCTTTTTGTAGATACAAAGACGAGTTAAATTGTGGAAGATGATGAAAGAGGTGTTGATTGGGACTCTGTGCGGGGCTGGTTTGTTTACTATAGGTATCCTAATTGGTCACTTTGGTATCAAAAAGGACTCTGCACCATCCTGGGTGAATGATGTGGGAAAGGATGTCGATGAAAAACTTATCCAGCAGTTTCTGTCCGAGGTGGATGCGGCCCAAATTCAGGAGAACCTCCGGTGACATGATTCTTTTAGTTTTGCAATTAGTTTTTTTTTTATCATGTTCTTTGAAATTTCGTATTGCATGTCAGAGAAGTGAGAACTGAAAGAAAGACTAGTCTTAGGCAACAAGAGATTAAAACCCTGGGGGTTTGTCAAGATAATGTCACTCATATCTGACTTTCAAAGGCAAATATTGTTATATTAAATTGTCCTCTCTTCTGTCTTTCTTTGTAGGGAGTTGACAAAAAAGCCTCATATGGCCACAACTGCCGGAGATGAGGAAACAGTGCAGTTTGTGCTAAAAAGATGGCAGGATCCAGAAACAGGTCTGGAAAAAGCCTGGAGGCAAGAATATCAGGTCTACCTTTCATTCCCCAACCCTGAACAGCCCAACAAAGTAACAGTTGGTGAGTGAAGCAGTGATGATGTCTCTTGTTTTGGCTTATGCTAGTGAAGTTGCCTTGGAGTCAGCTGGTTTGGCTTGTGGTTTTGTGTTTTTTTGTCCCAAAAGAGCAGACCAGTGATTAAAATGTATTATTTTAGTAAACCAGGCAGATGCTGTTCTATTCACTGTGCGAGAAAAGGAGAAGCCATACTACCCAGAGCAAGAAGATCCTGAGGTGGTTCAGCCGTATGCTGCTTATTCTCCTGCAGGACACCCAAAGGTAAAAAGACTTCAAGCGCATTGTGTCATAAGCAATGTTTTAGGTTTTATTCAAATACAAAATTTATTCGTTATTTTAAACATACAATTTAGAACAAGATTCCTACAAGTAAACTAATAGACATAATTTAGGAAGCCATGTTGCTTAAGACTTCTCATTAGACCAATTAAAATGTATTTTTTTGCAATAAAACCACAAAATGAACTTTTGCGGTCTTATAACCACATAATATCAATCACATCTGCATGTTTTTATTTGTTCATATATACAGGTGCTGGTCATAAAATTAGAATATCATGAAAAAGTAGATTGATTTCAGTAATTCCATTTAAAAAGTGAAACTTGTATATTATATTCATACATTACATACAAACTCATATATTTCAGATGTTTATTTTGTTTAATTTTGATGATTACAAATGACAACAAATGAAAATCTCAAATTCATCATATCAGAAAATTAGAATATTACTGAAGACCAATAAAAACAAAGGATTTATAGAAATGTTGGCCAACTGAAAAGTATGAACATGAAAAGTATGAGCATGTACAGCACTCAGTATTTAGTTGGGCCTCCTTTGGCCTGTATTACTGCAGCAATGCGGCGTGGCATGGAGTCGATCAGTCTGTGGCACTGCTCAGGTGTTATGATAGCCCAGGTTGCTCTAATAGTGGCTTTTAGCTCTTCTGAATTGTTGGGTCTGGTGTATTGCATCTTCTTCTTCACAATACCCCATAGATTTTCTATGGGGTTAAGGTCAGGAGAGTTTGCTGGCCAATTAAGAACAGGGATACCATGGTCCTTCAACCAGGTACTGGTAGCTTTGGCACTGTGTGCAGGTGCCAAGTCCTGTTGGAAAATGAAATCTGCATCTCCAAAAAGTTGGTCAGCTGCAGGAAGCATGAAGTGCTCTAAAACTTCCTGGTATGTGGCTGCGTTGACCCTGGACCTCAGAAAACACAATGGACCAACACCAGCAGATGACATGGCACCCCAAACCATCACTGACTGTGGAAACTTTACACTGGACTTCAAGCAACGTGGATGAAGTGCCTCTCTTCTTTTCCTCCAGACTCTGGGACCTTGATTTCCAAAGGAAATGCAAAATTTACTTTCATCAGAGAACATGACTTTGGACCACTCACCAGCAGTCCAGTCCTGTTTCTCTTTAGCCCAGGCAAGACGCTTCTGACGCTGTCTGTGGTTCAAGAGTGGCTTGACACAAGGAATGCGACAGCAGAAACCCATGTCTTTCATACGTCTGTGTGTGGTGGTTCTTGAAGCACTCACTCCAGCTGCAGTCCACTCTTTGTGAATCTCCCCCACATTTTTGAATGGGTTTTGTTTCACAATCCTCTCCAGGGTGCGGTTATCTCTCTTGCTTGTACACTTTTTTCGACCACATCTTTTCCTTCCCTTCGCCTCTCTATTAATGTGCTTGGACACTGAGCTCTGTGAACAGCCAGCCTCTTTAGCGATGACCTTTTGTGTCTTGCCCTCCTTGTGCAAGGTGTCGATGGTCGTCTTTTGGACAACTGTCAAGTCAGCAGTCTTCCCCATGATTGTGTAGCCTATAGAACTAGACTGAAAGACCATTTAAAGGCTTTTGCAGGTGGTTTGAGTTAATTAGCTGATTAGAGTGTGGCACCAGGGGCCATCAATTTTGAACCTTTTCACAATATTCTAATTTTCTGATATGATGAATTTGAGATTTTCATTTGTTGTCATTTGTAATCATCAAAATTAAACAAAATAAACATCTGAAATATATGAGTTTGTATGTAATGTATGAATATAATACACAAGTTTCACTTTTTAAATGGAATTACTGAAATCAATCTACTTTTTCATGATATTCTAATTTTATGACCAGCACCTGTATATCAGTGTGTTTATGGGCAACAGCAGACAGTAAAACTCAGCTAATGTTTAATGCTGTAACTGGAAATAGGTTGGATCTGACCAGTCATAAACTGGAAGATCTTTCATGTCTCCTTGCTTGATAGTAGCTTACTTTTCTGACAATATTCGCAGAACAGAGTCTGTCTTTATCTGTCTTGAATACTTAACAGCAGTAATCAGCTAGATATTTAAAGAAAATCAGAAATGAATTTTGCTTTTATTCCTGCTTCACACCAGCATGTTTTAAGTCTGTTTTAAAGGTGTCAGGGGTATTCTTTAACTTATTTTATCACTATCCTTATCATGAGCTGGATATCTAGATAGATAGGGAATGCTGATTAAAATGTCCTCTGTCCTTGAATAATGGTTTCTGTTATTGGTTTTCTATACTTTTCATCTTTTAGATTATTTGGACAAAGGTAACACTCTGAGGTATAGTCAGTCATCTGGTTGTTTAATTAGAAAGACACGTCCTTTCCAAATTCCCAGATAAAACCACAAATGTACATAGTTGATTTCAGGTTATATGTGTGGATCCATAACCAATTTAATTACATTGGTCTCTGGTTTTATATCAAAGCATTGGATGGATGGATGGATGGATGGATGGATGGATGGATGGATGGATGGATGGATGGATGGATGGATGGATGGATGGATGGATGGATGGATGGATGGATGGATGGATGGATGAGTGAAGAAAAGACAAATGTTTCTTAATAATTGACAGGCTATCAGGTAACAGTTGTAGTTTCTGATTTATTGAAACTATAAATGTACGTTTCGCAGCAGATAAGCATCTTCATGGCCAAAATGTAGTCAATGTTTTGTCACAGTACATTATAAAGATATGGTTAACAGAACCTTTAAGAGATAACCTGTAATCACTCATGGTGACAAGAGCATTTTTTTATACAACATTCAGTGTTCCTTTATTTTTGGGTGGTGAAGAAAAATTATTGAGTTAAAAGGCAATAGCAACACTGAGTCCCATCTATACTATCATGTTACCCATTCAATTGATAAATTATAACTTGAAAGATTAACTTAAATGATTTTCTGGAAAATTCACAGAGTTATATTTTGTGGCTCTAGGGGAAACTGGTTTACGCCAATCAAGGAAAAGCAAGCGACTATGAGTACCTGAACAAGACCATTGATCTAAGAGGAACCATTGCGATAACCAGATATGGTGGAGCGGGAAGGGGAGATAAAGTAAGTTTATCATTGTTATTAGTTTGCATTTGTTTTTGTTTTTTACATTACAGATGAACAATGTGCTCATTAAAGTCAGATGATGCAGGCATGTGACTACCTTGCTTAGTAGGTCAGGGGAAAAATAAAGGCTGACTTCAGCTCCTTGCTGCAACAGTCCTTTCATAAAACGTAAAAGTCAAAAGGTCCACCTTGAAGGATATTGCAAAAGGAGCATAAGAAACTTTCTTATTCGTTTATAAACTGGTTAGAAGTGTTTGGTACCATCTGCCTGATGACAGAACTTGAAAACAGACGATGTTCAGGGTGGAAAGAGTCTCTGACAATGTTTATCGCGTTCCCAAGGCAGCGACAAGGGTACAGTTCTTCCAGCAATATTTTATGTCAATGTCATGTTTTTTTTTTTTTTACAACCTTTACTGCCTCTATTGGTTTTGGTTCATCACAAGTTATTGCAAAATCAGAGCCGTATCCAATGCAAAACAATAAACAATTTATTTAGACATTACCTGTTTTGAGTTCTGAATAAAATGCAGTTTTATTTTTCCTCCTGACCAAATTTTTAATGCTGGATCTCACCTGGTGAGGGCACCTCCTTCTTCCCATTTGCAGTGTCCCCTTTAAGGCCTGTCACAACATTAAAATGTAAACATATTGATTATTTTTTTTTTTTGCCATTCTTCCATTAAAAATCAGATTTAGTGACCTGATGACAAGTTTTCCTATGGAAAAACCATCAGGTGCTGATCACAACATTTCCAGACCATCAGGTAATGTCAACAAAAGAATGTTGCTAATGTGATTTAATGTTTGATGCAGGCCATCAATGCTGCAGTCTACGGTGTTGTTGGTGTGCTGGTTTACACAGACCCTCTGGACATGAATGATGGTCATTTATCAGAGGACAAGACGTACCCAAACTCCTGGTACCTGCCTCCCACAGGAGTGGAAAGAGGCGCCTATAGCAGAGACTTTGGAGATTTGCTCACACCGTACTTGGCTGCCAAAGGTAATCAGTATGTTCTGTTACAATATGCCAACAGCTAGCCGCCATATGTGATCTTGATTATTATTTATTTTTGATTTTCTAGAGGAAACATATAGAATCCCACCTGAAGACATAACCGGGATTCCTCCTATTCCAACACAGCCGATAGGCTTTGAAGATGCAAGGGCCCTGATTTGGTCTGTGGAAATTTGCTTGTGAAATTGTTACAACAAAAACAAAACAAAAAGACAATCACAACTAAAACATCATTATATTAATATAATATAATTTCATTGTTCAAGTGAGTTGGGTGGAGAGAAGGCCCCATCTGACTGGCAGAGAGGATTCAATTGTACCTATAATCTCGGTGGACCAGGTTTCAAATCAACGTCTCACTTCAACAACAGGTTGTCAATATTTTACAAGATACTGAGCATTTTAACAAGATTGTCATAAGTTATATTTGTTTAACAAAACCTTACCCAGGGATTCAACTATACTGCATTGGAACACTTAGATTACAAACAAAATCTTTCCTTTTTTGGAAAAGACTGAAGCAGAAAGAAAAGTTAAAGCTGCACTGTTAGTTTGACTGTAAAAAAAGCAGGACATTTAAGCCACTTGTAGAAAATTTAAAATATTATACAGATAGAGAATTGAGCAATAGAATAGTCACATTCAACTGTTGGCTATTGTCTTTTAATTAAAGTATTTCAGTACTTTCAAACACTTTAAATAAAACCTCATATAGTGAGTTAAATGACTGTCAAACAATTCTTGAACTTTAACATGATTCAATCTAAGTTTAGCAGAGAAATAGTGGGCCGAGTTAAAGAGCTGGGACATTATTATCAAAAGAATGGAGATGAGCCAAGAAAAACATTTTCTTTTGGGTTTTATACCTCAGAGATATCCGTAAAGTTAGCTGGTTGGCGTCTATCTGATAGGGTGTCATTACTTGAAGTCCAGAACATGTTCCCTTATCAAGCCTGGCACACTTTATGATTTGGTATCTATATAGCCTATTATGTCTATTTATATTGCTCCTTATTTCCTTTTTCTCTTCCTCTAACCTTGTGACTCATCCAATGAATGTAATTACTTTCATCCTGAAAATTTTCAGCTTTAACTAATTTCAATCCTAAGGGAGATTAAATAAATAATTAGAAATTATACTTTATATCAGTGATTCCAAACCAGGGCCAATAGTACCCCTAGTGGTCTCCGAATGCATTGCAGAGAGTACAAGAAAACATTTAATATTTTACTTCCCAGATTAAGAAATAAAATAAAAACAGGGCTGGGATGGGTTTTGCTCTTTAACAGCCCAAATGCAGAATAGACCCAGAATTTATCCACCAAAAAGAAAAAGAAAAATTCCTAATTAACATTGACATAAAAGTCTAGAGAGGGTATCGGTGCTGTGCACCTGCACTACTTCTCTGCGAGCGAGAGCGGGAAGACAGGGGCAAAGACAAAGTTCACAAAAGAAGAACAGACCAAAGCAGCTGCAGTTAAGGATAAAAGGCTGAAACATCTCATTGCTTGGGATTCAGGAGAAGGTCAAGTGTTTCATTAACACAGTGAATGATGAAAACAAAGTAAAAATGACAGTGAATCTGAATATTATTTAGTGAACTGTTTTCCCTGATTGGTCAATTTTAGATGTTTGTATATAGGGGACCTATTTAGAAGACCTCCAGTTTTTGTTAAAAAAACTGATTTATTTGATTTGTATCTACATCAGTACTTTCATTCAAATTGAAAAGAATGAAATTTCTGAGCATTAAATGTTGAAGTTAAGGAAATTAAATAAGTATTTTTCGTTTTATAATCAGTTTACTTTCAATTTTTTGAAAATAACCCTTTTGACCAATCAGAATTAGATGTATTGCCAATTAGGTTTGCACTTATGAGGAATTTGACTTGGTGTTGATGGTGCAGACAAAATAGATATATATATAGAGAATACAGAATTTATAGTTATATACAATATAAAACATACTACCGTATATCCAATATATAGTACATAGCTATTTACTATATACAATAGAGGAGGTCTGGAGATGCTACGTTGGTATAGCTTTTAGGTCGCTGGTATTGAAGGGGTATAATGAAATGGTCAAGGGTTACACAAGCGAAAAAAGGTTGGGAACCACTGCATACTATAGGTGGGAAAAACGATCAATGTGATAAACATTTTTAACAAACCTTTCCATGAACGATAAAGATCAATCCTAAGACTATCATCTAAAAAATTAAGCTGACAGTTTTAAGACCCTGCTACTTTGTACAGTGCTTTATTGTCAATTTCTGATGCCAGTGTGACTAAAACCACTTTTCTATTGTTGGCTGAAAGAAGTGATACTTGGTCTGGTTTTCTGCAGTAAATTCAATTTACTATTTCATAAAAAAGCTTATAATATAGTTGCCTGTGAGTATGTATTGTAATACATTGCATTTAATTTACAAACACTTCAACAAAAGAGTCTTACATGTGAAGAACCAATAGTGTTCAGTCAACCAGCAGCTATAGTAGGCCTTTATTGACAGTTTTTAACCAAACTACCCTTCTATTCTTTGTAACTTAACAACTGGCAATGTGTGACTTTGTTTCAGCGATGTACAACTGGATATCTTTAATTATGAAAAGATAGTAAACTCCTCCAATGTGATGGGGGTGATCACAGGAAGTGTTGAACCAGGTGAGACTGGAAACTGAATACCAATCAGTGATCTGTCTTCTTGTAATATGTTAATAACCATTTTACTTATTTGTTCATAGACAGGTATGTGATTTACGGGAATCACAGGGACAGCTGGGTACATGGCGCCATCGACCCAAGTAGTGGGACATCTGTAATGTTGGAAATTACCAGAGTGCTTGGCAGAATGGTCAAACAGGGTGAGGAGAGTTTTTCATCAGATGGCTGCCTGATTGTTTTATTCAAAGCTGATCTCTGAGCCTCTTTGTGGCAGGAAAATGGAGACCTCGTAGATCCATCATCTTTGGCAGCTGGGGAGCTGAAGAGTTTGGCCTTATTGGATCTGCAGAGTACACAGAGGTAAAGTTTGTTTAAGCCAAGAGTGGGTTAAAGAAGGAAAATAATAAATGTTAGTTTGGTTTAAAGCAAAATTATATGTGATTTGAAAAAAAGATCTTGTATTTTTTGTGTAATATGTTTAGCAGGAAGAACTAGCTAATCAAACAAATCATAATAGTACTGCTGTTCTTTATTATTATTATTATTATTATGATTATTTTAAAAGAGAACATTTTGCATAAAAAATACATATAATTTCAAAAAGCTAAAGAAAAGTCTTATCTATTTTTTACCTGAAGGAATACTTCACCAAGCTCAGTGAGCGCACTGTTGGTTATATAAATGTGGACATATCTGTTTTTGGTGAGTTGATCTATATTATTCTCTTTATTACAATTACAGGCAACATTTTCATGATTTGCTCCAAAACTTTAATGAAAAGAAAGAAAAAAAAACTGTTCATTTAGTCTTTCTTTTTGTATATTTTAGACATTCTTAACCGCTGTTAGTGAGACTAACCATTCATTTAAATGTGATTCTGCAGCAAATGCCACACTGAGAGCTTCAGCGATGCCATCCATGCAAAATGTCATTTTCCAGGCTTCAAAACAGGTTTGCTTTTTAATAAATGAACGCACAGTGTTCAGGTCTTTCTTCAAAGTACTTTAAAACTTTGATACTCATACTAAATAAATGTGCTCACCAGGTCACTGCTCCTGGATTTGATTCCACATCTGTGTATGACAACTGGATCCGTTACTCCAACAGAACAAGCCCGACCCATGGAGTCATTCCACGGTAGAGACATCCTTTGACACATCTGTAATCTGTTAACACCCAGATTACAAATTATTTTAACATTTATGCTTATTATGAGTGTAAACAAAACTTTGACCAGAACCCTTGCTGAAAGCATCATCAATCACATCTACGCAGTCTCCTTAGTAACGTTTGCCCACGTGAATGAAAATGTTAATTGCCTTAGCCTGTTTGATATCGTCTCCTAAAGAAAAATGCAAATATGTTCCAGTTTTGCTTGCTGCACATTAATGTATCTAATAGGTTATAAAGAAGATGGAGAAGATGTCTAGATTTAGTCATACATTAAGCACGTTTTAAGCTCTCTGTAAGTTGTTTTGTGGTTCTTGGACTCTCTCCACAGGGTGGGATATTTGAATGGAGCAGGGAGTGATTATGCTGCCTTTGTCCATTACCTGGGAATCGCCTCTATAGACATGTCATATACATACGACAGGGTATGAAAAAAAAATGTTTCCTGAGAAATTATTTCTATTTTTGGTCAGAAATGCTTCTGAATGTTGTTTGCTGCAAATCCTAATCCAAAAAAAAAATTTCAAATAAAAAATGGCTCTAGTAACTGTGAAAGCAACACACAATGAAAATAACACATTCAGAAATAGCACAAAATCTATAACAATGCATGTTGTTTATGAATGTATTCTTGATAAGAACTGCTGTAGCCTTTGTGTAACCTTTAAGACAAACAGATTTCATTTATGAATAAAAGCCAATTCAGTCCAAAATAAGTTGAGCAATCTAACTCATCCTTATAAAATTAAGTGTTAATCATATAAACATTGTTCTAGGAGTTATTTCAGTGAAATGGAAAATTTGTATTTAAAAGGATTTATATTCCGCTAAGAATTTAGTTTCTGGGAAATAGTAAATCCATCTTTTAAAAGATAACATACTTTAAAAAAAAAAGACTATATTTAAACAAGTTTAATTGACCTCATCTTGAACCAGCAACCATTTTTTTAAAAATGGAAAAAGGTTTAAAAATAGCAATAATAAAGGACTATAGGGTACAAAAATAAACATAAATGGTTAAAGACAGGAACTATTTCCTGACTGCAAAAAACATCCAATTTGTAATTTAATGGGACATAATTTTATTGAAGTTTGTTCTTATTTGTGCAGAGCAAAACAAACGCTCGGATTTACCCTGCGTACCATACAGCATACGACACTTTTGACTATGCATCAAAATACATTGATCCAGGTGAGCCCTGTAATGATTGTTTTATGCAGATTCATGTCTTTCTGCTTTCAGATTGCATAAATGAACCAATATTTTTTCCTCCTCTTTTCAAAACCCCAATTCTGCTCCTCCTCTAGGATTTGTCAGTCACCAAGCTGTTGGCAGGACCGCGGGAAACATCCTTATCCGACTGGCTGATAGTCTCCTCTTGCCCTTTAACTGCGGTGACTACGCTGAAAGTTTAGAGGCTTACCTGAACACAGCAGTGACCTTATACGAGGCAAAACTTAAAGCTCAAAACATCTCAATGGGTGAGTATGGAATACAATAAACATTTAAAATCTGCAGAATTATTTAGTTATTCATTCAGTTCTCTCCTCATCAACCTGATTTCTTAAAATGCATAAAATCTACATCATGTTCTAGGTGTGGACTTTTTCTTGTCCAGGAAATATCAATTCGAACCTAAAATAGCTTTTGGTTAATAACAAAGACAACATGTGGTTTTAGGATGTTTTATTTCACACATCATTCTGCAAATGACTGAAGGAATCTGTACTTTATTTCAGAACCTCTCAAACATGCTGTGGCAAACTTTCGCAAAGCTGCAGAGCAGCTGGACAAAATGATTCAAGACTCAGACCTGGCAAATGAAACGTAGGTTCATGCTCCCATACAGATACAGACATATTAACATGATGCATTGTTAGTCTACATATCTCTCCATTCCCCCCAGGCCATTAAAGGTAAGAAAGATCAATGATCAGCTCATGTTGATGGACCGAGCCTTCTTGAATCCTCTGGCCTTCACACACGAATATGGATTCAGGTAAAACAAATGTCTTTCATTTGTAGCATTGGAATATAGTGTAGCATGATTTGGGTGATGCAAACTAACAATTTAGCTCTTAAAGTTTTGCTTTTTCTCAAAGGTGTATAAATGCTGCATAAAGATAGTTCGTAATGGCAGTATAAGAATCTATAATAAAAACATAACCACAGCAGATGTAAGTCTGTACATAAATGACAGCAATACTCCCAGATCTTTTTTTTTTTTTTTGGCACTGCATGAAGCCCTGAGCATTGGACATGCATTTATGGCATGCCTGACTTTGTCTAACAGTCTTTGCACGTATACGTTAAGCACTTTTTTGTGAATTTTCAGATTCCCCAAGGATCATTTTTGCACTATTTTTTTACATTTCTTCCAGGCATGTAATCTGGGCTTCAAGCAGTTCTGGAAAGGCGACCTTCCCAGGTATTGCAGATGCCTTTGCCAAAGCCGAGTCATCAGGTTTGGCAACCGACTGGCAAAAAGTCCATTACCACCTGTCCGTAGCAGCTCAAGCCATCGAGGGGGCCGCTGACATGCTGAGTGAAGTTATATAGACAGAATGTAATATTCCATCAGAGTCTAGTTATACATATTATTGCAATAAAAATGTCAAATTAGTGTAGATGAAGCACAAATCATACAACAATTGAAAGTTTTGAAGATAATAAATAGCTTTTCTCCTTTGAAAACACTTTTTATTGCTGTTGGGGCGCCACGGTTTAAACGATTAAAGGTGTGTTTTCTTTTTTTAAACTAAAGCGTGCTCTTTCAGCCTGCAGTACCTCAGTCAGAGCTGCTGTGTTCAAGACAAAGGAGGGCTGTCAGCACTCTGAAATCCATCAGCTGAATAAATGAAGTTGCACTGAGAGCCAATTTTTAGCATAAAACTAAATATTAAAATCTTTTTTTTTTTTATAGAATTTCTAATCATTAGCCCTTCGATCTTAACTTAATCAACTATCTCTTAATCAGCCTGTTTTTAAAGTAATGATTCTAAATGTTTATTAGAGAACTATCAGCATTATGCTGATAGTATAAAGATACAGCTCCGGAGAATATGGTTAAGCAGAATAATGATAAAGAAAAGCTAACAACCAACACAGGTGTGCACTTTGATGCTTGAGAAAGGAAATAATTTGCTATGTTTGAACCAAAATGTCTGTTTAGATAAAGAACATCCTTTGTAAAATGTTTATGAAATGAATCAACACCTTTAAGATCATTTATACCGAAACTAGATTCCTATAGCTCAGGCGGAGTTTAATGCTTATTTACCTGTACTAGAGAGATGTTTTAAATAATGTACTGTAATTCTACTTGAACTGTAAATATTTTGTCCCACTGTGTCTGTATATGTGAAATTAAAACAAAAAATTGACAAGATAAAGATTTTCACAAAGAATCGTCTGAATTTAGGTCTTTAACATCTTTAAGGAATATCGGCTAAAGAGGTCGAGAGATTTTCCAGTGGCTCATCAATTAATTACAGGTAGCTCATAAGTAAAATCTGTGTTGTTTTTTCATGCATTCATACTGAAAGACAAGTTACACAGCAGCATGTCAGGGTTTGGTAGTTATTGGTTTTACATGTCATGGCATTAAAACTGAGAAGAAGCAGTTTATTTTTTATTTTTTTTTTATGTTTTCTGCACAACTGGTTGAAAGTTGCAGTTTCAAGTTGGAAAAGTTAACAAAAGATCTACAGAAATCAAATATAGACTGAAAAAATTTGGTTTCTTTCAAACTATTTTCAAAACCCAGTATGATAATTTTGTATAATTTTTGTTTTTAGCTTAGTAACACTTAGTAAAAAGAAAAGAAAGAAGAACCTGTTTGTTTGCACTCCAAGAACTTTTAATTAATCTATATTTCTCTCAGCACTATAAACACTCTTGTTTTAGTTTTAACTTACTTGTATAAATGGTTTGACATCTTCCAAAGAACAAGGTTCCCTGTTTTCAGGTAACTAGAGAACAGCATAACCAGCAGCACTTTTCCCTGGTTTACTCTGCTGCAGCAGCTTCTACCTAAAGTTGTCCAAAATTATCACTAATTCACTTCTCCTCCTAGAGGAACGAAAGCATAATCTTTCTAAATAACTGATGCCTAATTTAAAGCCATCAAAAATGCAACAAACAGCCACCAGTTTTATTGGAAACCCAGTTATAGAACCTTTGAGATTGTTAGATATGAGCAGCATAAGTTAAGAAGATTGACGCTCCTGTTCCCACTACGGTATTTGGGCTATCTTTACTGGCACTCAGGAAAAAAATTTTTAAAAATTGATAAAGAGCTAACTTCTAGCTTAATGAAAACTTCTTGCTATTATAAAAACTGACAGCATGGTAGTATACTTGGAAAACTTTGCATTTAAACTTGGTGAAGCTTTGACAACAACTGGCAAATTGCAAACACTGATTAGCAGGATATGTTAACATCAACTGAACTACTACTATGGACAACAAAGAAGAAAACATTCCTCCTGGATAAGATAGCTCATTTTAAACTAAAAAAAATTTTTATCCTCAATATTCATGAAAAGATGCATCTCACTTTGGCAAACTGAAACATCCAAAGCTTACCACTGGAGCAGCAGTTCTACTTGATGCCACCAGGGGGCAGAAAATGCTTTTAAGACAGGAGAGGATGACAGAATAACATGGTTGAAAAACAGGAAAAGGTGAAACAGTGGCCTCCTCTATATTGGTGAAAGTTTACTCAGCTGAACAAACTAAAGTGAATCCTCAGAGCTGCTGTAAATAGAAACTTAAGGATAACACTGCTATGAATTCACCTCTATTGAAACTAAGCACTTTTATTTAAATGTTATTGCTCAGGGGTGAATACATAGAATGTATAATTACTTTTGACTTTTAAAATCCGCTAATACTTTGCAAGTATTTACGAGTTATACATCAGAATCTGGACTATAAGATTAAAAATTAGAGCTATGTTTGCAAAGGGAGGACCACATGTGTCTTTTATGATCAACATTGAGTAATTTTCTTTAGCAGGTTAGAAATTATAGTAATCTCAGTCACCAAAGATGGAAACAAGTTGAGGATTTTTAGGTTTCACAGGTTCAGGACTGCTACATTTCCTCCTGATTATCCAGGTTGGTGGATTCCAGTAAAAGATGATGGTGCATTATTTAGAAGACACTGTAGTGTTTTGGTTGAATGATGCTGTACTGTAGCTTTGTAAGAAATGCAAGCCAAGTATTTCTATTATTGCTGATTTTGGGTTTGAATTCATTTCTGTCAGTTCATATCATTGATAACTCTTTGTCAAACCTTGTGCCAATCTGTTCACATGGAAAAAAGGTGTAAAGAACTTTTCTCTAAAATAAACAGCTGATGATGAACATGACAGTTTGTTGTGAACAACTACGCTTAACTGTTGTGTTTAAATATTTCAAAACTGATTCATTATTTTTTTATCTCTCAGTACATGGCTTATTTCCTATCTGTAAGAAAGAATAAATAAAAACAATTTTTAAAATCAGTTCATGGTATGACCAATGTAATAAATGGTAAAGAAAGATTTCATGTAGTAACACATTTTGTTTTTTCTTATTAGATATTGATAAAAAATAGCTGTACATTGGAAAAACCAAAATCTAAATAAGTTATTGTTCTTAAAATAAGTGCATTTGTTCTTGAACTGTGCAGGTAAGTGAGACACTACCAATGGAACAAGACAATATATATTTAAAATAGGAAAAGACAATTGCATTGTCTTATTTCAAGTGCATATTATCTAATTATCTTATTTAAGAGAAAAAATATGTATTCCATTGGCAAATCATCTTATATACCTGCTCAAATTAAGAACAAATACATTTAATCTAAGAAATATTGACTTTATTTCTAGAACGTTTAGGCAAGAAGGAACTTCTGTGGATGTTTGTCTCTGGAGAAGCCTTCTTACTGATGACACTTGTCTTTTAACAGCCCTCTAACGAGGATGCTCACAGTATTCAATAAAGTTTCTCATTTTATAAATAATTTTCTTTGGAAAATCATTTGTAGAGAAGGGTTCCTAGAACAGAGCCTGCCTTCTTTATTATCTTGTCTGCAACTCTTTTGCTCTGATGCCGTTACCCCAGCAGACAATTGTAGTAGAGATCACACTCTCCACAACAGACTGATAAAAATATGGAGTATCTTGTTCAGAACACTAATGGAGTTGGGCTTCATTCAAAAGGAGTTTGCTCTGCCTTTCTTGTAGACACCTTCAGCTGGCCAGGTGAAAATGAAGGCATTTACGCTCCTACACCCCCTCCTCCAAGCAGTTCAGACCTTCCCAGACTCAACATTCCAAAGTAGTAATTCATTTTCATTCATCTTAAAACCAAAAATATAGGTATGCAGATGTTTTATAAATTGGAAGGAAGGAAGGAAGGAAGGAAGGAAGGAAGGAAGGAAGGAAGGAAGGAAGGAAGGAAGGAAGGAAGGAAGGAAGGAAGGAAGGAAGGAAGGAAGGAAGGAAGGAAGGAAGGAAGGAAGGAAGGAACCCCTGTATCAATGCTAACAGTGGTATTGTTAAGTACTGAAATACATTTAACTGTTGCAGTCTATCTTTTGAAAATTCGGGAATGCACCGTCTGTCACAGGACACATTCACAATATGGAAAAACCTCTAATGTACTTCATAATTTTATTATAGAAAACTAATTTCCACGCAAAAGAAGAACAGAAATATGAGTTTTACACACCAGTCTCAGTTTATTATTTTAAATATACATAGCCCCCTCAAGAAACAGCTTAACAGGGCTGAAAAAACACGCTCTATGTTGCGCAGCATATTGCTTATTAAGACTTTTCTTTTTAGAAAACATAACTTAAAAATATATATATATATATATACTACCACTTGTGTATTTTTTTTATTCTTGAATGTTTATGCAACTGGATTTTTTTTTTTACATCAGAAACCAGAAATGAAAAATAAAAATCAAATGGATATTTGATTCAGTTTCAAATCTAGATCAAAATACAAGACCTTATTCCTTTTTTGTATGCAAAGTTTATCATTTTTAATGTATTTTCCCGTTTAAAATATTCAGAACATCGAACAATTAGCTCAGATTTTAACACGTTTCACATCTTAACACGTGCTTGGAAAGTAACTACTAGACCTTACGATGCCTCTTGGGAAATAAAAAATAAATTATGCTTTTCCCAAATTTAAATATCTATTTTTGTCTCATATCACTTCCATGGTTTTGTTTTGCAGTGAAAAAAAAAATAAGATTAAAAAAGTATTTTATATTGCGCTGTGTTTAAATTGGTTAATTCATATTCCTCTTTTCTATAGATTTTTTTTTATTTCAAACACAAAAACCTTTTTTTCCTGTCCATTTTAACTACAAAATGTAAAATAAAATAAAAATATTATAATTTATAATTTAGGGTAATTATTATAAGGTCTGTTTTTTTTTTTTTGCTTTTCATTACTGATTTCTGATAAAAACCTCCAGTTACAAAAACTACCAAGACTGCTGCCTCTCAGTATCGGCACTAACAACTAGATGTTCTCAACACAGTCTCTAAAATAAAAGAAAGCAACACAATGTCCCTCAGTCTGGCTACATTTGAGAAAAGATTCCTTTTTTAATGACAGTGTTTACACAGTGGTCTGTACCTGGACAGGTTAATCAGCAACAGGATATTTTTCTTTTCTTTTTTTTTTTTAAAGAAATCCTGAGTTTAAACAAATTAAGTAGATGTCATTTTTATTAATTTAAACATCAATCAAACATCCTTTTTTTTTTTTTTTTTTTTTTACTATTGCAGCTCCTACCTTCACTAGTGTTTGTCTCTTTCCCATCTCCCCCATTAGAGAGTTGTAAAAGTGCTTCCTATCCAACACGTTCTAGTTTTTATGACATTGTGGATCTTCTTCATTTTAATCTAAAGTTGCAGAGCTACAATTACTGGTACTATGATGCAGCTGATGTTGCAGGCAGAGTGAAGGACAGTGTGAAACGGCACTAGAGGAAAAACTCAGGTGTTTAAGTTACAAGGCATGCATGTTAACACGACTCAGCGAGTTTCCACCAAAAGTTATTAGTCCTTGGTTTGCATCAGTCTTTTTTGGTGTGTGTGTGTCAGAATCTGTGCATTTCTTTTGCTGGAGGCATGGAAAACGTCCCGCTTGTATGATTGCTCATCAGTCCCTTCCCGGACTTCTTTGTTTTAAATATTTTGAAGCGAACAGATGACGAGAACATTTGCAATGTCTATGTTTTGTGAATTTCTTTTAAACTGTTTCCAAATTGAAATTGAAAGAAAATCACAGACTTTTCCACAGAGAAATATTTGATCCAGTCTTCATTAGGTGATGAGTCCATCATTCTTGCAGTCATTTTTAAGGAAACAACGGAAGGTCTCTGTTTCTTTAAATTGGTGGAAACTTCAAAAGGTTGCCGGTGTCACATACGGGGAGAGTATTTAGGGTTTCTTGGCACCTCGGTGAAAGATTTCAGCTCATACGGTATCCCTGTATCCACTTCAATGGATTTACGGGAAAATAGCAGCCGGATATCGTTGTGCAAGTAAATTTTTCCAGATTTGGAACTCTGGAATCTAAAAAATAAAAACCATGAAAGACAA